GATTTCCTTGAAGTACTCCTCGCTGCACGAAAGACGAAACAAAGAGACAAGAACAAAGAATACATCTGCAGTTGCTGTACGTATTCGCCTGTGAACTCCTACGTAAGCGCCATCTAAAAACTCAACCCCAAGGAGCCAAACTTACCTAAAGACCGGCTGTTCCTGTGTCGCTGCAGGGCTTAGTGCACAGAAAAGCAAAGCCGTCGTTGGTGTTTCTTGTTGTGACTTGGCGTATGTATCAGCTGCAGGCGCCTTGACACAATTTGCAATGACGCAGGCGATTTTAGTGCTAGTGGCTTCGAGAAGATGCAACACGCCGGGAGCGTTGTCCTTCTTCCATATCGCTTTCCACGCGTCTGTATTCGCCGGGTACGTTCCGCTGTTGGAGAAGCACAAACAATCAGTGCAGCACAACAAAAGTGTAATGATTTGAAGATGGACCAGCGGAAAGCAACAACGGTAGCATGGCAGCTAAGGTATGTATCATCGCTGTCGCTTTGTTTTGCTAGGAAAACATGTGGAAGCTGGCTGTAGCGAATTTTACATCCCCTTACTCGAAATCGGCCAGTCCGGCTTTGAGGGTATCCTCCACCAGTTTAGGGTAGTCAGGACTTTCTGTGTATTGGAAAGTGACATGGAAGAACTTCTTCTGTACACCCAAAGAAAGAACGAAACGAAAAACCAGCTTTCTGATGTTCAGTCTGTCTCAGATTTCTGTCAGGCCTGATTGCGGTTCTTAGAGTTGAGACCTGCTACTGATGTCTACAGAGCAGAAGTCGTAGGAACACAATGTAAAGCTGAGTTTATGCACTCACAAGGTCTGCTGTTACCAATGTCGAGCACGTCGCCTCAGTGACCTCACTGGTGGTGTCTATTTTTTCCTTCAAGGTGGCGAGAAGGTTGGTATCCTTTTCGACTGCATTGGTCTTAGCAGTAATTTTTCCATTACGGGCCAGCTTGGCCGTTAAGTAGGCGTCTGCAAAGAAAGGCGGAAAGGAAAATCACTGTGCAATGAAGCGATCTGCGTCTGACTCAGCTCAGTTGACTGTTTGACAGCAAACAAGATAGGAGACAGCACGATGGATATGAGAATCACCAGCGGTAATAAGCTTACCATCTTTTACGTCTACTAACTCGAATTTATATTTTGTTCCGGTTGCCGCCACAGATTGGAGCCCGAAGAGTCCGGCGAGGCAAAATACTGCTGCAGTCTTGTAGAGGGGAGCCATTGCGACGGATGGCAAGAAAATTTTAAAAAAAGTCTTCTAGACAAGAGAAATATAAATATTCAAATTGAGGGGAGCGGAAAAGAGGGCAAGCAGTTCGGAGTTCTTTGCGTGGTCCTGCAGTCGCGTGAACAGCGAACGGCAAAAACCGGGACAGCAAAGCCAAAATTGCAAACAGAAGATAAAATTAAATAAATTAATATTGACCAAAACTAAAACAAACAGAAATTTTTGTGCATGACTTATCCTCTGAAATAAACCATTTAATTTAAACAAATGCAAACAACAAGCAACACCAGAGACGCGGCAGGTCGGCAGGCGCCGCAGGTCGAGGTGGAAAGGGATCTCTGCGGGTTGTTGCTTTCGCCTTGGTTTCGGGTTACGTCCCCCTTCTCATACCACTCAACGGCTATTAGCCAATTAAACAAATTATTTTAGTTCCAATTAAATCTAGATCCATCTCCAAAAACGCCTTTTATGGGGTGATACAGCGGGAAGCCCCCCCTCTGCCTCCTGCTCATTGGGGGGGGTGCTGTGGCCCCCTTCCGGTGCACTACGACTGGGCTTTTCTGCGCTGTGACGGCCTTCATGTGCCCTTTATCCGTGAATCGTGTTATGGCCTAGTGCCACATGCAGACA